TATATATATATATTTTAAATGCTTTTGGGTGAATGGTTTTCTCTGTTGTTATGTTTAATTTTTGTATTGTAGTTGGTACGCATGTAGAGGTTGATGTGCATACTTCTCACGAGTGCAGAGTGCTGTTGTAAATAGGAACTTAGGGAAGGCTACACTTTTAAGTTAACAATTAACAGCTCTGACTATCTCATGGAATGAAAAAAAAAACATTTAAAAATTAAACAAGAAAACAAAAGTAGTATCTATTATACGATAGGAGTGGCATGTAACTTACATGGCATTTGCAAAATGAAGTCGAAGAAATTACATAGGAGAGATAATTGATAATTTTAATTTAAGATACCAATCACAATAAATTTATTTTAAGAGAGCATATCCAAAAAACTGCAAAAGATTTGCTTTGCTTTGTGAAAGCATTCATGATCTATCGATCTTACTTGCTTCTTTTTTATACAATTATCTGGATGGATGTCTTGTTATCAGGTAACACATAATAATTGACATCTTTGTATATGCAGCTTGATTTCTGTTCATACAGTGAAGACGATGAAGATTATGGTGGCTATGAATATAGCCTTACTGGACAGCTTTCAGAAGTTCGGATAGTGTTTTTGAATCGCTTTGTGCAGGAGGTAAGCTTCTTATTTGCGTGATTTGTGCTTTGATTTTATTAAGCAATCTAGCGCTTAAAATTCCACTTTTTTCCAGGTTCTAAGCTACTTCATGGGCCTTGTGCCCAGTGATTCTGAAAGTTTTGTTAAGCTGGAAGATCATGCCACTAACTCAGAAAAGAAGGTCCCAACAAGAGAAATTACAGGATCACCTGCCCTAAAGTTGGATCTGTCTCTAACTCGGCCTATAATTCTGATGCCCAGGAGAACAGATAGTGATGAGTAAGTTTTGTTCTTATTGATATGTTTTTTTTCCTAATATAAATGTTTTGCATTGAATAATCATTTTTAGGTGTTGGATTAATTATAACTATTTAAATGCAGCTACTTAAAATTGGATGCGCTTCACATTACTGTTCAGAATACATTTAAGTGGCTTGGTGACGATAAGAATGATATAAATGCAGTACATGTAGATATTATGACCATCAAGGTATGCTTAAGATAAAATAAACCATTTAAGTGGAGCTCATTACTAAATTCAAGTTTTTCATGTTTTAGAATTGTGAAAAGTAGGGTTATAAATGAATTGAGTCGAGTTGAGTAATGCCTTGCGCAAGCTCATTCGTTAATTTTCTTATCAAATTTGAGCTAACATGTTCCAAGTTTTAAAATTTTGATCAAAGCTTTTTTATTAGTGTTTTTTATCTAGTTTGAGTAGTAATTGAGTCCTTGATTGCATATTTGATGCTAATGACTTAAACATATTATACATTTATACATAAATAAGTTAGTGGCTCACTACTCAAGCTGATTCATTTATATGACGAGCTCTTAAAATTTGTTCAAGCTTGTTTAGTTATATACAACAACAACAACAACATCAAGCCTTTAT